TAGGGCACCACGCCGCCACTACCCCCGACCTCCGCACCTCCCCGCATGCACGCTTGACCCCGGTCAACGCAACGTCAAACCAACGATGCCGGGCGCCCCCTGCTGTGCGCTAGCTGTTGATGATGGCTGCTAGAGATCGGAGATCGTTGCTCCTATGCCCGCAAGGCCGATGCCTTGCCACAATGTGCGGGCATTTGAGAATTGGGGGATCGCCTTGTTCTCTGTAACGAGTAACTGGTGCTGCTACAAGCAGCTGCCTCGTTTACACGTGTAGGTACTCAGCTGTCGTCGGGATTGCGATGCCGGGTGCCCCCTGCTGTGCGCCAGCTGTTGATGATGGTTTCTGGAGATAGGAGACTGTTGCTCCTGTGTCCACAGGGCCGATGCTTTGCATCAAAGTGCGGGCACTTGAGAATGGTGGGACCTTTTTTCTCAGTGACGAAGGGCTTGCACTGCTACAAGTAGTTGCCACGTTGACATGTCTATCTACTCAGCTGTTGACGGGATTGCGATGCCGTGTGCTCTCTGCAGCGTGCCAGCTCTCGATGGTGGTTCCTGGAGATCAGAATTTGTTGCTGCCATGTCCACAGAGCCGATGCCTGGCATCAAAGTGAGGGCACATAAGAATGGTGGGAACTTTGTATGCTGTAACGAATGACTTGTGCTGCTACCAGCAGCTGCCTCATTGACATGTCTATATGTTCAGCTGTCGACGGGATCACGATGCCAGTGCCCCCGCTATGTTTCAGCCGTCGATGCTGGTTCCTGGAGAATGGAAAATATTGCTCCACTGCATAGTGCCAATGCCTTGCTCTAAGTGCGGGCACATGGGAATGGTGGAAACTTTGTTGTCTGTAACGAATGACTTGTGCTATTGCAAGCATTTGAGTTCGCACGCTTTCCTGCAGCACCGCCCTCAGCATGCTGGCCCCAACTGAATAAAAACAAGAGGACACAAGCACAGAAGAGGGTAAGCAGAGATTCAAGCAATGCAGAGATCAGGTGGGCCATGACTTTATTGGAGCCGCGCATGCACCTCATGTTAAATTCACTGTGAACACACTTTTTCTAAGAAGCAGTATTGTGGCTGCTTGGATGCCAAGACCTTTGGTTGTGTTGCCTCAAGGGTCAGGGGAGCTGGACATCTACAAGGATTGATGTGTTGCGCACAACAGCCGATGCCTTTGGTGCTAACGAGAGGACAGCTGGGTGCAGTCTTCGAAATCTGTTCACTATGACAACGGCCGCCTGCCTTCTTGACGACACTGCATGATAGTGTAGCACGCACAGTGGTTGGTTAGTATAGCGGGTGTGTTAGTCATTGCATGATGGTTCAGGGCAGAGCAGGTTGTTAGTACAGTGGCTTTGTTAGAATAGTGGCACGCGAGCTGTGACATTCACTAACGCATGAATAGGTGTCTAGAGAGGGGCCGAAAAAGGTGTGTGGGTTGGGCATGTGGTGCGGATATTACATGTAATGATCAACCTTGCAGCAGGTCGCATCATAGCAGCATTGGTGCAAGCTGCAGTGTAGCAGCGTTGGATTTCAATGATATGCAGGTCAACGTTGCAGCAACTCGCATCGCAGCAACGTTGCAGCAGCTCGCATCACAGCAACGTTGCAGCAACTCGCATCGCAGCAACGTTGCAGCAGCTCGCATCACAGCAACGTTGCAGCAACATGCATCACAGCAACGTTGCAGCAACACCCATGACAGCAACGTTGCAGCAACACCCATGACAACAACGTTGCAGCAAAACATCGGCAATAGTGCTTGACAGCAACGTTGCAGCAATGGTGGCGTTGCCGCATCGTTGATATGCACGTCTTGCGTCAACGTCGCCCAATAGGAACCCGTGTCACTGTCTCCCAGCGGTACCATTACCATCAAGGCCCATCAACGTTGCTGCAACACCATCCCAATTTCCAGATGTGTATATCGTGCCTCGCCTCTCACAAGCGGCAGCTGGTGGGACAAATGCCAGGCTCACGTCCAAACATACTACATTGTTTACACAGGCTACATTGTGTGCCCCTAACATAAACGTTACCTTGCACTGCGTAGTGCATCAATGTACTTCGAAGTACTACATCCATATTTGGTACCTCATCAATGGATGAGGATGAGTATATCAAGGAAAGCAAATAATTGAATGCTTAATGTGCATAGACGTTACTTGATGTACCCACGTGAATAAAATACCGAAAGGGCATGTGCGACTGCGGCTGCGCCCCGTGGAGTTGTCCTGTCCTGTGTACTTTCAACTAACGAAGTTGCATTATCTTCCGATGCAATCACTGATTGAATGTACCAGTTGTACTACGAGGTGGGCCATTTGTGGGTGGGGCTCCCCAAATGTCCATGTACTGTGGCTTACTGTACCCGTGAGGTGTGTGGCATGGGTTGTGATGTACAGTCTGCTATATATTGGTATTCCCATCGTAATAGATCCATGAAGATTTCCACTTTTCCAAAGATATGCTCAAGGCTTGAAGGGCATCAAGTTGCGGCCGCCCCCCTTGTGCTGCATGTGTCTGCTGTTAGTGCAGTCACAGCGTGGGCGCTTCACGTAACTTTTGCTCAGAACTGTTGCGCCCACGTGTGACCATCTTTCCGTTGGAATAAGTGCTTCACACTCGCAGTGATGAAGGACGTCATGTCCGCACACAATGCACTGCGGGGTGAACAGTACCGCACTCCGTTCTGCCTCATTCTGCTGTGTCCACTGACCCAGCATCACTAAGACATTCGCACGCCGTACTTATTTCCGTACTCCCTGTTCGAAGCTTTTAATGACACCGATCATTCAGCAGACCACGATGTTCCAGCAGAAGCATTGCAAACCGATTGGCAGCCCAACGCGCGGCCCTTCGCCTTTTTTAGGACCTTGCCGGCCGTTGTATGACGATGAGCCCCTGGGACCGGCAAGCTGTCAGTCACGTGTTCCGGTGGTCCCTGTCCGGCGCCGGCACCCCTCACCGTGTACCGCCCCTCCAATATGTTTGCACCACGCGACGCTGGTTGCTGGGGACCACAGGCGGCGAGGAGGGCGGGCCGCACGAGGGTGGAGCGGCTTGGAAAGACGTCAGGGCCCTCGAAAGCCTTGCCCGCGTTGAGGAGGTGGTGGTACCCCAAGGCCGGTCACGGAGCCGCTTGAACCGGTTCATTGCCGCGCCTTCGGCGGAGTGCGGGAAGCGTCCTGTTTCAGGAGGCTCCAAGCAGCTTGCGGGAACACAGAGCATCTCCGCTCCCCCCGTTGCAGCCAGGTGAGTTCGCTTGCGTCCAGCCCGGCTTTGGGCTTAGTTTCTCGGCCCTGGACAGCCGCTGTGGAGAATCCGACCTCGCGGGCGCATCGGCATTTGCATGGCGGGTAGTGATGTGCTGAGGGGCCAAGGGCAAGTACATAGGCGCGGCTATGTGCCATGGGAAGGCTACTACGAGCGCATTGTTTCTTGCCGTGGTCGAGGGGCTCGATTGTGCTGATGTTGGTGCCTCTGGAGAAAGGGTGCTCTCCCTGTAATCCTCTGCCGTGGGCGCGTGAACACTGGAGCCTCTGGGTGGCGATTGATCGGCCACGGAGGACCCGTGTGCGCAGCGCGTGGCCGGAAGCGCTGGCTTTCGGACTGAGGCGGCCAGCAGGCCATGCACGGTTGCCCTCAGCGGCGCGATACCTCTCCGAGTCGCCTACGCGGGGCGACACCTTACAAACCAGCGCTCTGGCTGACAGATGAGGCGCATCGCCACCTGTCGCTGAAGGCGCTTTGAAGCAATTTTGGCCCTCGCGCCTCCCACTGCGGCGCCCACGATTGACGTAGTTTTGCTTGCTGTCGCAGAGGCGGAGAATCCTCTCAACGATGTTTCGCATGGGGATGGAGCTGTCTGCCGTGGCGCTGATCTTGGCGGTCCAAGCCTGCGCGGTTTCGGTGAGTGGGGTTGCGGGATCCGAATGGGCGCATAGGAGGAACGGCGGGATCCCTCGGCCGCGGGTCGGCTGGTCCGCGTGCCTCGAGCGGTGGCTGACCTTTGAGCGGGCGTCGACACCCGTGCGGCTCTCCAGCATCAGCCGTCGCGGATTCCGGTGGTCAGCTGGGGCACGCGTTATGTACTGTGGCGACCGGAAATCTCGCAAGGAAATTCGGGGGTGGGGTGTAGTGGACGGGCTGGGGGATGTGTGCCGGTGCCCCCTTGGAGCAGCGAGCCCAGCCCGACGTGTTGCGCTGGGTGCAAGGGCAACGTACTGGTCCGAGGGCGATACTGTAATGCTGCCTGCTACCGTGCGTTGCTCTGACTTAGCAAGCGGTCGCAGGCCGCATTGGAAGGCCCACCCTGCCGGTGGCGTTCTCGAAGACATCGAACCCAGGACAGAACATCGTGTGCATTCGCATACAATTCGCTTGAACATCGAATTTGCCCCGTTGTTGGACGGTGTGCGTCTTCTTAGTACTTTGCTGTTCTTCTTGGAGTGCTCGCCACATGGTAAGAGGAAATAAAGGCAGCGGTCCGCACGACACAAGAAGCCGTGACAGTTGTGTTCTACTCCCAGGGGGCGCGCATGCCGAAGGACTTGCCTTCAGACACGGGGAGGTCGCTGGAAGGTGGGTTGAGCGCACGCACCCGTCGCTGCCGCGTTCGCCAAAGCTTCGATTCACGACTCTCGTTGCCTATTTATTCCCTCGGCCACAGACCCGAACTCCTGCGCTCGACACCAACGGCGGGCGTTTGCAGGCTGAATTGATGACCTCGAGCATTCATGCAGGCCCCAAAGGATTTTGGAATGGATTTGCATTTTGCTGGTTGGAAGAGTTGAACTGTTTACCATGCTCTGAGAGGGGTGCGCTTGCAACTACTCCAAGTGCTGCACATTGATTGCTTGAAAGGCTTCAAAGTGCTGCACATTGATGGCTGACGCCCCGCCTGTCCTGTCCCGCAGCGTTCGACTTGCAGGGTTTGTACGATGGCTGTCCCCAGGGCCCCCAGGGCGTAAACAGCCAGGAGACCATGAACAACCCCCCCGACTGGTGGGAGACCAACTGGGGCCGCACCGACGACGCCTGGCCGCGCCGGGGAACCCAAGAGTGCTGGGACAACCGCGGCGACGTGTGCGCCCTCCCCGACCGTGACCACACAGTGTGCCTCCCCGGCTCAAAGCGTGGCTCCACAGTGAACAGGGGCTGGGCGCTGGACCCAAAGAGTGAGAGCTGCCAGCCTGGCGTTCGGTGCCTGTACGCCTGCGAACCCGGGTACTACTGGACCATGTTCAACCAGAGCGAGACGTCGAACTACGACTACGAGTACGGTCCGAAGAGGGGCCACTGCGACGGCACTTGGGACTACGGCACGTCCACGCACGGGATACTGTGCAAGGAGGACGGCACGCTGGACCTGCCGGAGGACAAGCCGCTGTGCCAGATGGGCGAGGATTACGTGTTCGCGGAGAACCACCTGGACACGCACGTCTTCCTCTGCCAGACCGTGTTTCCAGGTACTTTCATTGTGCTATAATCGCGTCATATTTGCCTGTTTCTCATGATACTTGTCCTTAATGTTACAAGATTGATTGGTCGTAGTATTTCTGTATCTGTTTGTGGGCGACAGAATTTGAACATGTTTCGGTCATTCAAATGGTAACACCGCGTGTGAAGGAATTTGAAGAAACCGCCAGCTCCCTGTGGCGATGTGCTTCTTAGCCGTTTGGTCGCCACCGATGTGTAAAGTGTCAAATGACCGTATAATGTTATGCACGGGGCAGATTGCAAAGTATCATATGGTAATCAAACATCTTGAACACACCCATAAATCACGCAAGGACAAGATCGAGTAATATTTCATGCTCCTGAGTAAGCAATTCAGAGTCCAATAGTCAACAGCTTACCATTTCGACACAAACTCACGTTCTGTTGTGTCAAACAGGGCACGAGATCTTCCTAATCCCCACGCTGGTGAAGCCTGGCGAGAGCGTGATGATCACAACTCAGCCGGCCGACTACTGGCATGGGCCCACGTACCAGAAACCCACCCACGGTGACTTCTACCTGAGCTTCTCGGGAGCTGACATCATGGAGGCGTGCACTTGGGATGAGATCAGCCCCAGCGGGGCGTCCATGTTGCCGTACGAAGTGGGCAGCGGAGTAGAGGACAATGGGTTTGTGTACTCGACGCATTACTTCTACCAGCAGCCCAACAGCGAGATCCCCCAGGAGAAGATTGGGTACCAACTTGACCTGCAGTGGTGAGTGCGTGGAAGCCTTGCGTTGTCTACGAATGGCGGTCAGGCAGAATGTGGGGAGCGTGTGTCCAGATTTGGTTAGACCTGCATTCGAATTCCCGACATCGCCATTTTGGTGCAGGGGATCTTGTTTTGTCTTGTGGCAAATGCAATCCCAATGGGGATGTAGGTGCATCTGTATCAGCATAGGTTGTAATTGCTGTCGTCAGGAACGGAGTTTCTTTTTGTCATATCTATGCTTTTGATACTACTTAGTTTTCGGAGATTTAGTTGCTGAATGTTGTCGTTGACGATGACCTCAATGTGTTTCCACACGTAGGGGAACCCAGTTGGTGCTCATCACATTGTGTCCGAGCTGAGTTTGTCCTAGAAGTATCATTTGCGCTACATACACACACAAAATATCCTTGCAGACGGCGTTACTGAGACTCCGCTCTTGTGTCTTGGCAGCGAGTCCAGCGAGCCGGGCGTGTGCGGTCCCGTCTTCAGGAACGCCGACGTGGTCAAGGTCGACGTGCTGAGAAAGCCGGCCCCCGGCACCACCAAGGTCAAGTTCGTGTTCATGCCCGAGGAAGCGCACGTCGAGTTCCCGGACACCTACCGCGAACCCAACCACAACTTCCTGGACCCAACCAAGATCCCTGACCCCGAATCGCGCAGCCACTACGGCGTCGTCACAAGGCCTGCCCCGGTCCACTCCACCACGCCTGTGGTGCCCACCGTTCCTGCTGTTCCTACTGCTCCTACGGTGCCGTCATCTGGAGTGGTGGAGGGCAAGGAAGTTCACTCGGATCCTGACACAACGCAGGTGCCAGCGCCGGTCGACCCAACGCCAACTCCACGAGCGTCTCCCCGCCGGAGCCCCAGGGAACCCGTTGTGACCTCCCGCCCCGCGCCGCAGGTTGTGCCTCAACAGGCCCAGCCGCCTCCAGCGCCCACGGGTGTAACGGATGCTCCCCACTTTGGGCACGCGGTGTGCATCGACGGCGTGTGCTATCAGAGTAAGTGGGCCACTGGGATGCAAGAGGTAGATTGGATTTGTTGGGTGAAGCTTTCGCCATTGCATTGCGCGGTTTGCAATGCACGTTACCCTGCAGAACGGAATATCTGGAGATGAGGGTACTATGGCGTGCAAGCCACCCTCATCTATTTGTATTGCACATTCCCCCATCTTGCTTGCCTTCAAGTCGAGTGCAAGTGAAGATGACAGTCATTGAAGTCATTCGACTTGTGTGGCCCTGTTTACGCGACCCACCACATGGTTTGTTGATCAATTCCGTTCGTCCTTGCTCTCCAGTGATGCTTTGCCCTGTCTTATGCAGCGACGGCGATCCCATATGTACCAAATGTGTTGCCTCACATGTGGTAACGGTTTCCAGCAACCGCTGTTGCTGCTATATGCGACTCGATTCCTTAGTGGCCATGCCACAACGCATGTCATGGATCATCATGAAAGGGGCCCGCATTCTGCTGTGAGCTTTTGCCTGTCATGAAAAATGTATTCATTACTAAACTTTTCGTGTAAATCTTTGCAGATATTGGAGAGTACTTGGATCGCAAGGCAGCAGAGGGGGCCGGGAGCACATTCAGCGGATCCAAGTTCATGGGCGACGTCCATCAGGAAGATGTAAACTATGTAGCTAATAGCCTACAAGGCAGCGGGGCATTGCAGATGGGGCGCAGGTAGTTCCGGCGTTCACTGCCGGTGCACCGTGGCCTCTGGCTCCCCAAGAGCGCTCGAGAGCCTCGAGACGTGCGACAACAACAGGCAATAAATGGGCGCCAGCCCATCGAAGTGAGGCTCATTGTTGTGGTACCCTGTAACATTTGACTTCGAGCATAATCGACGCCCAAACTGCAAGACTGCCTCCCGTTGAACGTGGGGAATTGGCCGTTAGGTTTTGGAGGACTGGCCTGTGTGCGCACGTGGAGAGGGCGTGTCATCGTTTGTTGCTGATTGGCATCCCCGGGATCGGAGAATAAGTCGCTACCTGTTGAAATTCGGCGGCCCTGAGCATGGCTGCAGCGAGGTTCGGTGCGGCAAGCATCGATGATGGAAACGACGCGTGTAATTATTGTTTCGGGAGATCCATTGCATGCTTGCTTGCTCTGCGGTTGCATCCATCCGGCTTGCGGTGTTGCAAGGCGCGTGCCTGGGATCGTGTCTGGAGGCAACATGTAGTTGGCGCACCAATGCTACTGTCTTATAAATGGCTCAAATGATTTGAGTTCTGCATCTTGGCGTCGGCCATGGCCCCCTAAGCGTGAAGCAGCGCCTTGTGTAGGGGCCTGCAAAGTGCAACACACGCCTAGATTCAGGTCCATCCCTTGCGCAGACAAGTGCAGCTCAGTCCAGTATGCAACACAGAGTGGATTCTTGCAGCCACTGCTTGGGTTGCTGGCCGGGGCTGCTCCTAACGAAATGGGGCGGCAATGAACCGGGTTTGAACCTCTCGATCCTCTGGATGTATCCGGACTAAACCTCTCGATCATCGATTGCTGCCGTGGTTCTGACGGCCCGTTGGGCGTTCATCTGCGAATCGAAGAAGTTTGTGCTCGCAATTATGAACGATATTGGGGATTAGTGCCTTGCCGGTCTCCTTGGCCTACCCTCATCTTCGTAGATTTCAACGCTTCACAATATTGTGAATCAATTTCAAGCCCACTAAGTGGTCCGTCACCGACAATAACCCAACGTTCCCGTTTGGTTGTTCGCATCTGCTTTGAATGTTTGATACTTCACTCATACGTGAATCAGTTACGAGTCAGCACCCCAATCCCAAATTTCAGCCGTCACCCAACCCACACCCAACTGAAATTTGAACAGTAATTGGTGGCCACGGGTGCCAAAAACCGATCAGGCTTGTGCCTCAGCAGCAGCCGATGGCGCCCAGTTATTCACTTTCTGCGCCTTATCACTCCTTCCCGCTGCCTCTCTTGCGCCTCCACCATTCAGCCAGCCGCAATTTGGGCTAAGTCGGTGCGCTCAGCCCCGCTTGCTGAACCATCGGACCTCCCCACGCCTCTCTTGCTTCCTTGCACCTCTCGTTGGGCACACCAGCCTGTGGCCAGGAGACGTACATGCAAGCAAGGTGCTTGCCAGGATGTGCCCCCCCATGCGCGCTTTGGGCGTGCATCGTCACACGCATCTGGCTTCCAGGTGGTCAAGGACAGCCACCAAAGTTTCCAGGGTCCCTTTGTTGGCCATGATGCACATGCTGTGTGTCCCTCGTGGGCGTTGCGCCCATTTGTGACTATTCCACTGGCCGAATGTGCCGTCCACTACTCTGACATGCTGTCCAGCGCGGCAAGCCATCAGACTTTGCCGTTGGACGCTGTGCGCCATCGTTCTCCGGTGGAATGCCCTTCACATTGGACCCAACACTGTCCAGCGCAATAGTCTGGAGGAAGTCTGGCCACCACACCAGCAGCAAATCTTGGCCATTACCAACACTGTTTACTAGCTGATTGATAATTACCCTGACGACACTGTGGCATTCTCAGATATAGCGCGTTTCAATAGGAGTGAACAGGCACATTGGCGGCCCTGGCTAGGAAGAAGATGGTGATCTGCCACTTGATGTGATTTTTGTGTGCATGAAATGGATTGGAAATTCTTGGTCTCCTTTCAAGACAAAGTCGTCATGAGGTGGCCACAATTCCAAAATTAAAGTGTGGTCGCGAGTGTCTTGCTGGCACAATCGACAATCAGGAATTATGCTTCCCCTAGCCGCAGGGATCGGAATAAAGCAAGCAGGCTAGATGGACTCCTCACGATAGACGCAAAATGCAAGCCTGGACTCCAGTTGCCGTGGTGAGAGCGTACAAGAGTCGGTGTGTGGATGGCGCAAGGCCTATAGCGCCCTCAGGCCCATGTTCGTGGGCCACGACAGCTGGTAATGGCCCCTCCCCCCTTCCCATCACTCCTACATCTGCCTCTCCTATCCAGGTGGAAGTGGCAGCTAGGCGATGCGAGATGGTGTGAGAGGCCGGGTCATGCATATGGGGTGAGGCGTGGTGGAGGTCCTGGCTTTGCTCCAGTAGGAGCATGTCGCCACAACTGATTCTCGACTTCCCACATACACCATCAATGGAGAAAGGAGACCTCGAGTAAGACAATGTAATTCTGAAAGATTCCTCAATACTTCTTCTTTCGTTAGCTTCTGAAACTAAGAAACTTGCATCAATTCCATTCCAGCAGGGTGACGCATACTCTCCTTAATGTGATGCAATACTTTTAAACACATGAAAACACCAGACACTCCCCAACACGCATCCAGTACAGAGGAGTGGCAGTTTAGCTTGTGCAACAATGACAGCTTGCCCCGGAGTCATGTACTGCTGCAATCCTCAGCGGTGAAAAGCGAGTGTCATAAACGTACTACTGTTTATACTGGTACAGCTTGGTACGCAATGCCCAGCACGTACACCAACAGGCACAGACTGATTCCCAATGGACCCGACATGGAGACTGACAGCAGTCAGGCCGCATCAAGGCGTCAACAAAAAATGCACACAAACCCTTCTTGGATCGGCAGCCCATCGGTTGCCAATCAAAGGGCTCCTAGCTTTGCCCTTCACCACTTTTGAAGCATCGAGCCAATTAAAATCCAGAAACCAGGCAGCCACTAACGATCACTTCAATAGCCTGGCCCACAGTTGTAGTCTCCTGAGCAAACTACAAGAATAGAATCCGCTAGAAGACGTTGTCAGAAGTCACACACCAGCACTGCAGCAAGAGCACAGCGGGGGCCACATGCCCCATATTACAACACACAATTCGTTTCAGGTATAGGGGAACACCAGGGAACATAAGAGGGCTGTTCTTTCCAGAACCCAAGCACAGATACACAGTCGATGTGCCTGTAGATGAGGCAGAGTCTGCCACAAACTGTTGAGATGTTTGAGGGTCTAACACCACCTCAGAGTCCCCACATGTTGTCTTCTGGAATGTGCTCTAGGAGCCAGAGCTGGCCTTCTGGGCAAGAATAATACCCACTGCAAGTGCAAACATAGGACTGAGTCAGCAGTGCCTTCAGTGGAACCACGATTTTGCGATGCTCATGTTGCTTAGGAACATGCACTCACCCGACAGAACATGCAGTAGATGAACTCAATACAACAGCGTCAGAGCCAACAAGATTCCCATCTTTGACGTGTCTGATACGTTCAAACCATCTCACACACTTGCCAAAACTTACCAATCAGTCCATAGAGTGCCAGGGCTTCCGCGAAAATGAGGATAAGGATCATGGCCACAAATAGCCTTGGCTGCTGAGCGTTAGCCCTAAAGGCAGGAAACCAGAAGGTGTGACCACGGATGCCTTGCTGAAGTAATGACATCAACAAACAGGCAACAACAACAACAAAGCACAGTTGCCCAAACAGGCACAGTCTTAAAACACGCCATAAACACAACAACAGCAAGGGCACACAAGTTATGTGCACATGCCAGAGACATTCTGCATTATGGTGCTCCAACATTATCTATCTTGATCACCTCCACACGACAGCAATAAGAGCCCAGAGGCAGACAGCAAACTACACCAACTATACACAGCAACGCTTCAAAACACACCCAGGATACATTGCCAGGACTCAAGACCACAGGGAGTGATCCTTGAGGGCAGTCTGAGCTCACCTCACGCCTGCATCCCCAACAATGCCGATGGCCATGCCAGCACCCAGGCCAGCAAGTCCGCAGGACAGACCAGATCCAAGGTGAGCATACCCCTTGAACAGGGTGTAGGTCGTTTCATCAACTGGGCACGAAGGCACACACACCCGATGTGGTTAGAGAACATCCAACTGCGTGGCCAGCACCTGTCTGTGCCTGACACAGACAGGAATCCCTGTCCCCGTGATCGACCACACCGACCTTGCGGTCGCCCACAAGTTCAACAACCTAACAACTCGTGTGCAATCTGCGAACGAAGGCCATTTAACGGCCCACACGCAGGCCTGTGAAATGTGGAGGCCGACAGACAAGTCACAACGCCATGTGTGGACAACACCGAGGGCACGCGGCCAGCCCTGTCCCGTGTGCTGCCCCAATGGCAGTTCGAGGCACCCAGCTGCACGAGAACTGGGCAGGAGCCTGTGGGATTCCCCACTCACTTCCTGTGCTGATGATGACGGCGATAATGAGGCCATAGATACCCAGAATACCAGCCATGACAACTGGGACAATGGATTTCATCACCAGCTCCGGGCGCATCACGCCCATGGAGGCAATGCCCACGCCGCTCTTGGCCGTGCCATAGGCGGATCCAAGGCCTGGAAAACAGACAACCGGCAGCAGATCGTGAGGAACAAACCGTCGCCCCTGCCAACAAACTTTCAGCCAGGAACAGCGCTGGCACAAAGGTGAAAATGTTGCGCCTGGAAGCACACTTCAGATCCGGAACGGTGCAGGCGCAAGGCCGAAATTGTCGGCCCTGGCCACACACTTTCAGCCCAGAACAGCGCAGGCAAAAAGCTAATAGAAGATCGGCCGGATCAACGCGCTGGGCCGGTTACAATCCAAGCAACCTCGCACAGCCAGCCGTGCAAGGCGAAAATTCAAGACCTGGCGAGAACACTGCCTTCCCAGATGCCCGTTTCGGGCCAGGCACATAGCTGCACGAAGATCGGGTGGATCAACGCTTTGAGCCGGCCAGCACCCAAGCAACCTCACACAGCCAGTAGTGCAAGATGAAAATGGAGTCCTGGAGAATAACCGAGCTTCCCAGATGCCCATTTTGACCCCGATCGGCAGCTTAGGGCCCCCTAGATGGCCCCCCTCCAGCGGGTGCACCCACAGGCAAAGACCAGGGCGGCCGCCGCGCCGATGAAGCCGAAGAACGGCGCCGTGTCCGAGCTCTCTGAGACGGGCTCTGTCTGCAGGAGGGTGCGCGCGGCGAAGTCGGCCATGGCGAGCGGGCGAGCAGGGGGCTGCCACGCTGACGGCGAGCGAGTGGCAGCGACGCGAGGTGTGAGCGAGGAGCCAAGCGCAGTGCTTAAAGAAGGGGGGGGGCAGCGGCTCCTAAATTGTGGCAATGCATCAATTTGACAAAAACAAGCAGATTGAGGATCCTGAAAACACTCTGGAGTGCTTTGGTGCGAACGGTAGACGATGTCTGACCGGGGATCGAACCGGGTACAAGAAAGGGGGAAATAATATTACTGCCTGCACCAAATCGGTGACTGCTTGCACCAAGTCACGTGCACACTTTGTCCTAACCTCAGTTTTAGGGTTAGGTTTAGTTCAGGGTGAGTTTTAGGGTTAGGGTTAGGGTTAGGACAGGTTTAGGTTTAGGTTTTAGGGTTTAAGTTTTAGGTTAGGTTAGTTTTGACGGAGTTGGACATGATGTGCACGTGACTTGGTGCAAGAAGTCACCGTTTTCGTGCAAGCAGTCACCGATTTGATGCAGGGAGTAATTTTATGCCAGAAAGGGGGGGATGGTGGGATCACTGCTCTAGTGATACCACCCGGCCCACGTTAGGGAAGAGGGTAGTCCGACCCCTTCGAGTGCCATTCCACCCAACACAGGGGTGGCTGACGCCTGTGGACATTAGCACAGTGCGCCTTGAGTGGGACAGTTGGTGGCCCATCGCTGGATTGTCGTCGCTGGCACAAGAGGGGTCCCACAGGGCACTCCCTGTGGCGACTCCCTTCAGTGGCCCCGGGCGCGACGCTCCTGCCGCAGCTCACTCGCGATGCTCCGGTGGGCTTCAGTGTTGGATCGCGTCAATTGCACGCGTGGCAAGCCCGCAGTTTGCCGCCTGTGCATTGTTCGATTCTTGTACTGCGCTCGGCTTCCCCGACAGCGGATTCGACAGATGGTCGTCCAACCGTAGTGGGATGCATTGGTTGGCACTCGGGCCTCGTATCAGATCTCTCACTGCCTGCGGGGGATTTGCGCTTTTTCCCGTGTCGCGTTCCCGTGTGGCATTTTTCTGGCAACCATCCAAGCCAAAAAACTGGTGCCTTGGCAGGAAGAACAGGCACACATCCACACACTCTCCACCAACAAGGCATTGCTGGGAATGACGGCACACAAACTGCCCCCCATAAATGCCAGCCCCTAACTGATTGTCAGATGTAATTCAATATATACAATGATGGCTGTGGATCAGCACATTAAGGAGTGTTTCCCCTGTCCGTTGCCTGATGGAGACAAACATCAACTGGTGTCCAGATGCACCTGCACACCCAAGTGTAGATGACGCCTCTACAGAATGCAGAGCAAAATAGCAAGTGACAGAAGAATGTTGTTTTGAGTCCTTTGAAGCATTGTATTCCACATCCAGGGGCGATGTTAGGTCGAATTTCTTCCCATGTATTGTTCTCTCTGCAAAAGCATTGTCCTTGGCATTGATGGGCACAACGTCCACCGCAATGTGTGTTCCAGAGTGTTCGCCTGGGACTCTTTATTTTCTCCCCACAATTGGATTGAACAGATGGCACTTATTGTCCGTTTAGCCCATAAATTTTCGATTATGTGCTATTTGCTGTCACACACCTCTTGTTTGCAGTCTCATGCGTTTGGCTCTGTTCCAATCCTTCATCACTGTGTTGCAACTTCAAGATCCTTACCTGTGTACTTTCGGTTGGAAGGGCCAGTGAAGATTGCAAATCATCCTTTATAGTGTGAGGTTGAAGCAAGGCGTTTTGCAGAGTGTGCTTTTCCAGAATTTGTTGTCTATCATACACTGATCTTGAATGAAATGTGGGTGTGATTTGGCCTTTGCTTTTCCATGGGAATTGTCAGGAGTGTTGGCTCATACCAGGTCGTACAATGTTAGATCATTTAGCAGGGGCCCTTGGATATGCAGATCCGGAATACAGCTGCACACGGTATTGCTAATGTTGCAGATGCAGTTTGGCATACCATCGCCAGTGTCATGCACCCCTTTGCCTTATCGCAAACTTTAGGAATGCACCAACTTTATAAACAGTGCATATTGCCAACATCAACAATGACACTCTCTGCCCCTATTCTGGGATTTGACGATCATGTCCTGGGAATGGCCATATCTTGTGTAGATACATCCAGGTTATGGAACTGTTTCTGATGGTGTTGCGAAATGCTGTAATAATGGGTTAATGTTAGCCTTCTGTTGGGCAAGGCTGGAAAGTGTTGTCAAGGGCCTTCCCATCAGCTTCGAAACCCAGGAAATAAAATGTGAGTTTAATCAGACCTGAGTCGTCAGTCCTAGCATGGTGCAGTCCATTTGGGTAGCGAAAACTCGCTGCCACTATGCGCATTGGCAAAGCTGCACAAGGGATAGGTTGTCAGCGTGTCAGACAGGCTGCATTGGATGACCGGTGAGCGTGAGTGTATTGGGGCTGGTGGGAATAGAGCTATAGATCTTGAGAGGGCTTTGGAAATGCAAAATTGTGGAGTAGAGAGTTGTGCCAGGGAGTTGGATACGTGGCCTATAGAGCGACAAAAGCCCCACTTTGGCTTGGAAAGCAAGTTGAAACAAAGGTCCCTTCTGAGCGCTAGGAACCCTGAATGCAACCTTCACATTCTTCCCAGTATAACACAGTAGCCGATGTTGCCATTTTGCTACCTTTGGGGATGGGAACGATACCGCACACCAACACTGGTGGTATTGCTTCTTTGAGGGGTGCTGATCCGACCATTTATAGATGCATTGGTGGACATCATTGCAGTGATGCTACTGTTCAGAGTCTTACTGCGCTACTGCCCATCTACCCCACACCCAAACGCCAAAATGGGTATGCAAAATTACTCAGCCTGAAGTGCTTCAGATCTGAGAAAAATAATTGGACTGACATATTCCAGTTCCACACATTAGTGACTGAGGGAGCTGGCAGGGAATGGATACTTTCACCGAATGGGTGATTGATTATATACTTTAGTATAGAAGTGTTTTTCATCTTTTGCAGCAGACCTCTCGTCATAAGTGCCATGAGTAAGAAGGTCTGTCCAACACACCACAGGCCGCCTGTGGTGTGCATTCAGCTTGGAGTGGACATTCCGCAGCAAGAGCATTACGAAATGGTACGAGATGCTGTCACTCTACACACCATTGCATATGGTGTTGATACATCAACCAACTACAGAAATTCAAATTGCTCAAAGTCCTTTGCAAGCCCAGCCGCTACCAAAATGTTGCCCAGCGTCATTTTAGGAGGGTGTATTCTATTCTAGTTTGCATAGAAAATCTTGTGTGAAGACGGAACCCGAATACAAATAAGTATCATGTGAGCATATGAAGCTCACAAGGGGTGATAAAGGTCGTGTAGGGTGCGAGGACCCCCAAAAATGAAACCTAAACCCTGTATCACAAGAAAATTGACCTTATCACATTTATGGTTGTCAAGAACTTTATGACCTCATGTACGAAAACTAGTGTTATAGGAAGTTTATGGGCTGGATGCGCTTGAGGATCACCGCATAGGTGCCCCTGCTAACAATGTCAAAGTAGGCCTCCGAGCGCCCTGTCATCGCCTAGGAGGAGCATAGAATCTGCTTTGTCATTCGAGGGAAAACTTAAGAAATGAAATTAGCCTCCAAGCGCCGATAGTAACAGCGAGTTGCCAGCCAGGGGTAAATAACGTGACGCCAAGGTGTCACGACTTGCAAAACAGCGTGAACGTAAAATGCAACCACAGCCATTCATAGCCCTGGATATCAAACATCATGAACATTATGCAATGTAGAATCCACTGGGCAGCTTTTACCTAAGCATAATATTTGCGCATGCCATGCAAAAAGACAGGTGGGATATGGCTGAGCCTCATGGGTACATATGATCTATCAACACCAAAAACGAAAATGGTGAAGAGGAAACAAACGTGGATCATTGAGTTTACCGATACAAGTCATGTGCCACCAGCCCTGCACTATGCGCCCGCTGGCCATGCACTGGCTGGCCTGTCTCTCTTGGGCCCCCAATTTACTCAGCGGACTCCCTCTTGGCCACCCACCTAGACCCACCACCAAGAGCGCCATCATCCTCCCTGGGTGCCGTCCGCAGACCCGCCATGCTAGACCCACCCTTTGCCTCATCTGATATGGGGACGTCAACACACTCAATGTGGTGGCAATGGGCAATATCACCATATGACGACACACATGCATTTGGCAGCTTTGGCGATGTTTACGGTCCTCTAAGCAACAACAGCACCCAAACCGGTAGTTTGCGCTGCTAACCGCATTGGGATTGTGGTGGTAATGCCCTGACCATTCACCAAGGGTTGTGGAGCCAGTT